AAAAATGTTTCGGGGTGCTCTTGCAGGAGATGTACCTCATCAATGTCATAGAAGGGGATAGAGGAAGAGCAGGGGATTGTTGCCAACCATGTTACTGCTTTCTCTAGGATCGAAGTGCATTCGATGAATCTCTTCGAACGTCTTAGACCTTTGATAGGAAATTCACCGTGAGTCCACGCCGCCCTGAGGACGTTCAGATTCGCTTTTTCTAGTAGACGTTCACCATCAACAGAATCGGCTAAAGCTACCAAGTACTTCTCCCAATAAGACGCGCATCTGTCTTCTAAGGAAATTTCGTCGAGAGCGTATGAAAAGAAGTGATCATTCCAGTGCGAGGAGAACATAACTCTTCGAAGGCTTGAAAAGTAGAAGTGAGACAGATCTCGTCTTTGCTTCTCAGTAAGGATAGGAAACAGGGGGTAGATCCATGTGAACAGGGGTAAAATATACGAAGAGAACAAAGCGCGCCTAAGTTGGGGTGAAGTACACCCTGAAAGCTTAAATGGCTTAATCAACGAGATACGTTGTCGAACTTAAATCATGGTTTTATTTAGCATGTCGCTCCAGCCTAGTTTAGGGGTAATCCAGTACCCCAGGTATTTGAACTCCTTAACCCAATTTATTTATTTTTCTTTCATCTCGCCAAAGAAAATGTCGAATTTCGGTGAACCAATAGCACGTGCGCTAATAAATTTCATCTTTTTCATTACTTCTTCTTTACTGTTGTTTTTAAATATAGAAACTGAATGTTCATATCTAGATTTAATTGAAAAATAAATCATAAACGTTGAGCAGTTTTTTTATTCTTGTAAAATATCATCTAGAAAAATAAACATTAAAGATCGTCAATAATTGTTGTTGGTGCATATACGATGTAACACGACAACATAAAAGATCAATTAGCGGTCTAGTCAATATTACAAGATGTTTTTTGTCACTCTTAGGAATGCTTGTGATCTTTACGATCGATTGCATAGCAATCAATCAAAACCATCAAAAGACCACTTTATGTAGTGAGCGGAATGTTAAATTTTACAAACAGAAATGAAATTCATTTGGTCTCGATTACTTACCAATTGTCTAATTATTACGAATAACAAAAATGACTATAAATAGCAATGATTTTTAACGTTAGAAATCATTCCCCATCTTTCTTTCTCTTCTTCTTACATTCATGTATATTTTATTTTTTAACTATTTTAGCTTGTATTCGCAATTTCCATTGTTCAATATCATAGGTGAGTATTAGTTTTAGTTTTTAAATTTTAGTTTTTCTTTGTCTCAGCCTTTTGTCCCATTTGTTTATTTTAATTTTTATATGAATATAATTGTCTTTCTATTATCTATTTTAGTAATACAAAAGAGTACGTATAATTTTGTATATATATGTATATATTTTGCGTCTTACGGAGGCCTTCCATACATCGGCGTGAAACCGGTCAAGCCTATCTTGGTGCCCATAGCACGTACAGGCCGCATATAGATCTCCCTGTTGTACGTTCTATACACGCTAGATCTATGCCTGTACGTGAAGAGCCCTGGGTCTCTATGGCACCACCAAGGTAGTTCTTGGTCGCGCGAGCAGCTATTAGCTGGTAAGCAAAAAACAAATTTCATTCCAATCAATTCATTTCTGCTTATTCCATCTCGATTCCATCAACAGCAAAGTAAATATAATTTCTTTCCTTCATTTTCTCATTCCAAACAAATAAAATTAATGGTTATTTTTCTGTTTTAGTTCCATTCAACATTTCAATTCAATTCAAACAAATGCAAATGTAAGTATATATATATATTCCATTCTTCTTGTTTAACCTTTTTTTGTAACTTCTGTTTTATTTTTATTTTTCAAATAAACATTATTTAAATAACTCAAATTTTTTCTTTTCACTTTACTTATAAATAATTTCACTTCAACAATAAATATTTTTATGTTAACAATAAATAATTTCAAAATAACTCAAATTTTATTTTACATTTGAATAATACGACATTTATTTTCATATAAATCATAAAATTTTCATTTAAATAACACAAATTTTCATCTACATAATACAAATTCTATTTTCATTCAAATAATACAAATTTTCATTTAAATAAGACAAAATTTCGTCAAAGTAATACAAATTTTACGAAAATAATGCAAACTTACATTTAAATAATACAAAATTCTATTTTCACTTTACTTTTAAATTATTTTATTTTACCGATAAATAAATTTATTTTACTAATAAATATTTTTCAATTTACTAATAAATATTTTTCAATTTACTAATAAATATTTTTATGAAAATAATACAAAATTTTATTTTTTCATTCAAATCATAAATATTTTCAAAACGATTAATTTTTTTCACTTTGATAAATAATATTTTTTGCAAAAAATAATTTTCATTTAATTCATTTCTTTTCATTTAACAAATAAATAAATAAAAGAAAAAGAAAAGAAACATATGACGTAATTTTATATTTTAGCTTTTTTCTTTTCTTTGAAGCGAAAGAGTAAAAGAAAATTTCTTTTTGTTTTGTTCATTTATTTCAAAGTATAGAAAAAGAAACGAACAAAGGAAAAACAATTCACAAGTCTTATTCGATAGAAAATCGTTGAACACGATTATTATTGAAATCGACGACATAGAGATTACCTTGTCGATCGAAAGACAAACCAACGGGGCCGTTGAATTGATTTGGTCCTTTTCCTTCGCCATTTCCACCCACAATTACAGTGCCCTGTTTCTTGTCTCCTTGAGTCCAATGCATTACACGATGATTCAACGTGTCTGCTACATAGAGTGTGCCCAACGTATCAACGAAGATTCCACGAGGATAATATAATTGTGTCAGAGCACTTCCTTGACCTTGTCCCCCAGCAACCACAATACCTTCTTTTGAACCTTCAACCCATTTCATTACACGATGATTCTCGTTGTCTGACACGTAGACATTCTGTTGTCGATCGACAAAGAGATATGTCGGAAAGTTGAGTTGATTGAGTCCATCCCCTTTGTCGTTACCACCAGCTACGAGAGTGCCATTCTTCTCACCCAATTGATATCGCCTTACTTCATGTTTTCCGACGTCAGAGACGTAGAGATATCTCTGTTCATCCATAGCTACTCCATTACATTTGATGTTGTCGATGAGTATTTCACCTTGTGTTGTACCACTACGACGAGACCATCGTACAACTCGTTGATTCAAAAAATCACAAATGATGAGACTATCCGTCTCTTTGTCAATTAATACATCAGTTGGCTGATTCAATTGATGTAATCCATTTCCTGCGCCTTTACCACCAGCAACAACTTGTCCATTCGTTGTATCACCATTCTTCCATTGCACGATACGATGATTCTCCGCGTCAGCAATAACCACTGTTTGATCATCATCAACGAAGAGACCATAAGGGCGGTAGAGTTGATTAGTGGCATCCCCTTCCCCGTTACCTCCAGCAATAGTCACCCCGTTCTGCTTCCATGTAGCATTAGCAGGAGTATTAACTAGAAGAGAAAACATATAAGAATAAAATGAGATCTCTTTCTCTCTCTCGGGTATCGATGTAAAATTCTTTTGAATACATCATTCTTTCTTTTTTTTGCTAGAAATTCCTCAGAATAATCTATATACTGAAAGATTATTCTATAGAAACAAAATAGAGTTCTCTCTAATGCTCTTTTTTCTTGCATCAAAATAGTTCTATATTTTGCTTTGTATTTTTTGAGAGTCTATATTTTCTATGAACATATATGAGCTTATCATATGCGTACGCTGTTGTATTATTTTCCTATCTTGAGGGTGTCAATTTACAGTTTATTTAAATTTAAGTTCGTGAAAAG